AAGAAGAAGAAAGCAGGTAACACCAAATATTGGTGAGGATGTGGAACAGTGTGATACATTGCTTCTAGAAATGTAAAAATGGTACATCTACTTTGGCAAAGTGGTTTGCCATTCTTACAGCTCTATTGAGGTATAATTTACAGAAAAATTAAAGCCACCCCTTTTAAGTATGTACTTTAGTAAGTTTTGGCATAGCAAGACAGTCATGAAACCACCAACATAATCAAGATATGTAATATTTCTATGCACCTAATGCCCCTTTACTGTTAGTTCTTTTCCTCTGTCCCCAGCCTTAGGCAATCACTGATCTGCTTCCAGTCAATGTAGTTTTGCCTTTTCTATAATTTCATACAAGTAGAATCAGATAGTATGTATCATTTTGTGTCTGGTTTCTATTACTTAGCAAAATGCTTTTGAGATTTATTGATGGGAAAGATTTGAACAGACATTTAACAGAAGATAATATAAATGGCCAATAAGCACACAAAAAGATACTCAACATTGCTAGAGACATACAAATTAAAATCACAGTAAGATAGTGAGATACCACTCTACACTTACCAAAATAGCTGGAATTAAAAACTGACAACACAGCTCAGCACCCATAGCACAGTGGTTATAGCGGCAGCCATATACACTGAGGGTAGTGGGTTCAAACCCAGCCCAGGCCAGCTAAACAACAATGATAACTGCAACAAAAAATAGCTGGGCATTGTGGCAGGTACCTGTAGTCCCAACTACTTGGGAGGCTGAGGCAAGAGAACCGCTTAAGCCCAAGAGTTTGAGGTTGCTGTGAGCTGTGATGTCACGGCACTCTACCAAGGGCAACATAGTGAAACTCTTGTCTCAAAAAAAAAAAAAAATTGACAACATAAATATTAGTAGCTAGAATGCAAATACATTCATTTCTGGTAGGATACAGAAGGGTACAACTACTTTTAAAAACAAATTGGTAATTTCATCAAAAGTTAAACCTATACTTATTATATAGCCAACTCATTCATTTTACTTACAAGGTATTTACCTAGAGTAATGAAGCAAATTTATACAAAGGCTTGTTCACTAATGTTTATGGGAGTTTTATTCACAGTAATTAAAATATGGAAACATACTAAATATTTGTCAACAGAAAATGAGTTTAAAAAATTGTATATCCGTACAATAGAGCGGTACTTAGCAATAAATGGGAATGCAAAAACATTGTGAATCTCACTGACATAATGCTGAGCAAAAAAAATAAAAAGGCCCGATAAAAAAAGAGTACATATAATTTTATTTTCATAAGTTCTAGAATAAGTAAAGCAAATGTATTGGTTTTCTGTTGCCATAAATATAGAGGCTTAACACAAATTTATTGTCTTATTGTACTTCTGACAGTATTTTTGAGAAGTTTAACGTAATCTTATTGGGCTAAAATTGAGATAATGGTAGGGCAAAGTTCCTATCTTAGGTTCCAGGTAGAATGCATTTCCTTCCCTTTTCCAACTTCTAGAGGCTATCTGTGTTCCTTGGCACATGATCCTCTTCCTCCATCTTCAAGTTAACAGCACATCACACTGATCTCCTCTTCTGCCTCCTTTTTGCTTTTTGTTGTTGTTTTTTTTTTTTTT